TTTTAAAAAAAAAAAAAAAAAAAAAAAAAAAAAAACCTTAGGGAAAAACTAAAAAAAAAATCTAAATAACAGGCATAGTTCAGTTAATAGTACTGTAACAGCAATCTTCTCTCCTTAGTTGTGACAAATTTAACAGTAATGTAAGAACTTAACAAAAGGGAATGCTGAGAGAGGCTGAGGCAGGAAGGTCACTGAGAGCTCTGGGCCAGCCTGGGATACATGTTAAGTTTCAAGGCCAGCCTGAACTAAACAGGTACGGAGACACTGCCTCAAAATAAATAAATAAAAACAAACAGGGAAAAAGGGGTGAGGTATATGTGTACTATCTTGCAAATTTTCTATAAATTTAAAACTATTCTAAGTCAGGGGTAGTGGTACACACCAGCAGACCCAGGACCTGGGAAGCTAAGGCATAAGGATGAGCTCTAGGCTAAGCCTTGGCTACAGAGTGAGTTCAATGCCAGCCTGAATTAAATAGAGTCTACCCTGTCTCAAAATAAATAAAAAACAAAGCAAACCCCCCCAAAAAAAGCCCTATTCTAAAATAAATGGTTTCTTTAAATTTAAAAATTGGCATAAAGGAAATATGGAAAACAAGAAATCAAAATCTTTTGGAAATAATGATAAACATTCTTTGGTCCCATTACATACGGTGGCAAGACAAAGATAACATTCTCATACAGTAGAAATAAGGGTATTAATATACCAATACCATAGGCTACAGTCATGTTACCTTATGACCAAAATGTCTGGATGTGCTAGTTTCCCAAAGGATCATCTTAGCTCAACTTCAACTATTAACGTGGATTAAAAAAAAAAAAATTCCTAACATTAGTCCTCACCTGGCTTACCCCATTCCTCAGTAGATGGTCATTATAGGTCAAGTTCACTTTCTTTTTTTGTGTGTGGTGATTCTTTTTTTATTATTATTGGTACATTTTAGATATACGTAAGATCACATTCATCATAGGGAATTTGTATCAGTACATGATAGATCTTGATTCTTTTTTTACCATTCCCCTCCCCTCCCCTCCACCATTTTTCCCTCCTTATTTGCAAAACCTTTGTTTCCATTTTTTTCCTTCTATTCTGTTTCTCTGGTTCCTTTCCCCCTCCCTCTTCCCTTGTTCTCCTTCTCATTTGAACATTTTCTTTCTGTTTCCCAATATCTACTATACATTTTGATTCTTACTGTCACCTCTAGTCTCTCACACCAGAGCAACAAAGCAGTATTTAAACAGGTCATGCTCACTTTCATATCTCCTGCTCATCTCAGCAAGGCACGTTCTTGACATCGAGTGCTCTCCCAAGCTTCTCTCAATTATTACTTTTTCCTTCCATAGCTGTCTTTCCAACTCCTTTCCATTCCCATAATTAATCCGTACAGTACAAAAAGAACCTTCCTTGAACAAAGGGTTTTTTTGTTTAAGTTTTGTTTGTTTGTTTGTTTTGAGCTGGGGTCTTGCTTTGTAGGTTCAGGCTGGCCCTGAACTCTCTGTAACCCAGGCTGGCCTCAAACTTGCAGCAATCCTCCTGCCTCAGCCTCCCCAGTGCTGGGATTACCGGTGTGCACCACCACACTCAGCTTGAACAAAGGTTTTTTATCATTCCCCAGCTGGTCTTTTTTAAAATTTCGGTACTAAACCAAGTTAAAACTCAGAAGTGGTATTACAAAGCCACCCATAATTGGCTATTCTTTTCCACTCTTCACTTGCAAAGACAGACATCTCTTCCATCCTACTCTCTGCCTCACACCCTATCTCTTACTTGTCCTTATTCAGAAAATAAAATTCTTACTAAGCAAATACCATGTATTTGAGCAAACAGGACTCCTCGAAGTAGTCAAAAACCTTATAGTTGGGGTGATGAAACCTAAAAAGATATCTAATAAAGTATATGAGAATTTGTTTTGTTCAAAACTATATCCTCAATTCCTATAACAGGGCCTGGCACATAGTAAATTCTCAAAAGTGTTCAGGCAATGCAAACAAGGCAGTATAGAATGCTACAGCCCAAAAAATTATAGGTTAGAGAAGGGGGAAAAAAATTCAATTGGAAACATAAAAGTGGATCTAAAATTCTATGATTCTAAGGCCCACAAGGCTTTGAATTTCAGCCAGGGGTCAGGCTTGAGAGACCTTCAGTAGTTAAGAGGATATACAGAGGTATATAGAGAAGATATACAGAAAAATGTTGTATAAGCATAGGTATAAAGAAATAAAATTATCATACCACACTGAGGTAGTGAATAAGGGATAGTTTCTGTAGGTTAGTGGAAAACTAAGATGGAAAAAGACTACAGCCAAAATTTGAAAGGTTTTGAGAAATTTGGTATTCTGGCTTGGTCATGTGAGTGGTCTAATCTACAGCAAGATTAATGGGGGTAATATGAAGGCTCCACTTAAAAAGCAAAAGCCTTACTTTCCACAATAATCCTCTTCAGTCTACTCAAACTTCTAGGGGTTCCCTTTTCTTTTAACCCTTACAGCTCCTGCCTACATCTTCCTAATTATATAGCTTTTCACACCAAACTTATTTCGGTGTTTATCTGTTCAACCTAACAAGATCAAATCTAGACTTTTTTCTTCCCTAAGAAATCAGTCAACTATTGGGCTCTCAAAATTGTTTTCAGCTTTTTAAAAAAATTTATATAAAGGTCCAGTTACTAAAATAACAATCTAAAAGTAAAAAGGACATTAAAACACACACACACACACACACACACACACACACACAAACACACACATAAAAAGAATATCTAAGCAAGAAGCTGCCATAAGATTTAAGTCCTCGGGCCAGGGATCTAGCTCCGTGGTTCTGCCTCTTCAAGTGCAAGGACCCAAGTTCAATCACCAGTACAAGAAAAGAAAAAAGATTAAGTCCTGTTTGAGCGGCACGTTTTAAAGTTTCACTATGACAGATCCCATACCTACTGATGGTAAATGAGTTATCTTGCAATACATTCTCAGTACTTCCTGTTTTATGTAAGTATTTCATCATCTCATTTCTTTTTCTTTCTCAACTAAGCACTGCTCAGTGATCAGTGCACTCATTTTTCAACGGTATTTTCTGACGTCCATACTATCTCTTCAATACCATTCTCTATTTGTGACTGAACACAGTTGTCATAATTAAAATTCTAATAAATGGTGCTGTATGGCTTCACACAATTTTTTAACAGATGTTAGCATTTTCTTCTGGTTTAGCATTCAAGCAAAATGGATTCAAATAAAAACGTACTATTACGGAAATCCCTCAAATCTATCAAAGCATTCACAAAATGAAACATTGTGTGTTAATAACTAAGGATTATATTTAAATTCTACAATTTTCCAAACTTTCCAGAAGTTTATATTCTTCTCTTTGACATTTCACATTTACATAGTCTAAAGAGCAAATTTCATTCCCTTCAAACCTGTTCACGTTAACATCCAATAATTAATTTTTAAAAAACATATGAAAATCCAACTAGCATTTAACCCTAAAAAGGTATTTTTACTGGTGAATTTATGAATTTTCCGGTCATAACTTTTATGTAAAAGAAAAAAAATGAGATTTTTCTAAAACTATAAAAAAGAAATGCACCAGATGTGAGTATTTCTGGTTATACTGTATTAAAACCTCTCATTAACGGTTTTGAAATTCAAATGACTTTGGGGGGGGTAATTCCACAATGCACTATTCTATTATTCCCCACTCCTTGATGGTACCTAACACTACTGAGATTTTAAAGAGGAATAATCAAAACTGTAGGGGACGCAAAAATACACCTTACCGGGACGGCAAAACCCACAGTAAGTCTTAAGATTCGGGTGAAACGAACAGCTCAGGTTTTCCACTTCCCCATCTCAGAACGCACTAGGACTGTGTGCGAAGCTAAGGGGCTGCCGCAAAGTCCCGAGCTCTCAGTTCAGCCACAGCGTAGGAGCCTGGAGCGCTCCGTCTGCTGCACCCGGCGGCCACGTGGCTGTCACCACCGGAGCAGCGGCGGCGGGGAACCTGGAAATAAATACCCGCCTCCTCCTGCCCCTCGGAGTTGGGGTAGAAGAAAGTCTGTGTCACTTGTTTGCACGCTAAGACTTTTTCCCCATAAGGAGGAAACGAAGTACAGGAGAGACTAAAGTGCGAGAAGATCCCGAAAGTGCGGCTCTCCGAGGAATTGGCCGCGGACTCCGGGAGCCGCCGTGAGGTCCGGGCGCCCCGCGCT